TGCGCGTACATCGAGAGGCTTGAGAGAGGAGTTGTTTTTGATTTAAGGGAAAAAATGAAACTGATAAAACATTATAAGGAATCGACTCTTTTATACAGTTACTCCTTTGAGATAAATTGTAAACAGGCTGAGCTATATCTAGTCATCTCTTTTCCTTTATATACAAGATGCGTTATTCCATTTTCCTTCAATTTCTTAAATGGTGTTTTAGTTGAAAATTTATTCACGTAGCTCTTTGGTAAAAATATCCAGAGTGGTTCGTCGTCCTTATCAGTCAAATAAAGGGCTATTTTCGTCCCATATGTGGTTTTCTTTATCTTACATCCAATGATCTTGTATTCGAAATTAATACATAGGTCTTCAGTCTTTGTGTAGCCAATAACAGGCTTTTGATCATTCAAAGTATCTAAGAAAGACTATGATATACATAAACATAAGGATATTTTTTGATTGGCTGTGAGAATTTGTAAACATACCATCATTTATAACTCACGTACTCCTGGATTCGCTTCAAAAAGGTTACTGTTAGGTACTAATCAATTTATTTAATGATCCCGCTCTTTTATACCTTTCAATAATAAATTCACTCTTCTTTGTGGTTACATATATACATATACATACATATTTATTTATATATATATATAAGTATATTAATACGAATAATATACTTTTATTTAAATGAAAGGGATGACATCATACCACTTTTATAAATGTATTTGTGTATATAAAGAATTTATAGCTAGGGATATGGTAATTATTATTAGGAATGAAAGAGATGACTGCATGGTCATTTAATTTTAAAATATATAGATCAATTATATACCATAGCACAGATTCAATCTTAAAAATATAATATAAAAACAAGTTCTAGTGTTGCTTTTTATCAGTTTATTTTCAAATCTTCGAAATGAAAACGTTCGTTTGTGATCTCTGTATAGAAAGTCCTTCCTTTAAATATCGCTATGGATTAAAACGTCACATTCTAAAAAAACACAACTTCAGCAATACAAAAGCCAGATCCTCATACTATAACTGCTACTTCTGTCCTGAAGTGAAAAAGTACTGGCTCCGAAGTGAATTATACACCCATTTCTTGATGGATCATCCAACGATATTAATTGAAATAATTAACTTAACACAAACTTCAAAATATTTCTTTTAAATTTTAAATCTTGGTGTTAATTTAATTTCAATCAACTATTTTAAATATTAATGTATTTTAATTTTTAAGTTCATTTTAACTAAACTTTGATAAAAGAAAGATTTCAAAAATAATTTTGTTTGAATAATTATTTATTTTTCATGAATTAAAAATAATTACACAATAATAAAATAACATAGTTTTTAATTTATTCATTATTTATAAGCCAATCGATTAAAATTTTGTCGAATTCCTCATCCATTAAACTTTCATAATTATCTTTTCCCTCATTAACTTCCAAAAATATGTGGTCATCATCCGGGAAAGTAAACTCTGGTTTTGATGATATTTCCACTAGTTCTGGGGTCTCCGGAATAAAGCACGGAGAAGCAGGTATGTCGTCGTCGAAATCCTCAAATATATTTTCTTGAGTGTCCGGGACATACATTTTATCCTCGATGATAGTTAATTCGTAATCCCATGTTGGAGTTAGCAAATCGTACATGGATGTCAGAGAATCATCCTGTAGATTATTAAATAGCTCTTCTTGTGTATTTTTCCCAATACCAATTAATGATAAAAGTGCACCGTTTGATACACAAATATCACTAAGTGCTGGTTGGGTATCCTCGAATATAATTTCCAGCTCGCTCATTTTTTTTTTCTTTATATTTTAACTTCAAACTCTTTCTTTAGGATTTGGATTTATACTAAAAATTTGATTCTTAGCATAAACCTCAAAACCTATTGATCCTCGAAAACGGAAAACAGGTACTTGTGTTTGAATGTATTGGTATCATCAATACATGTACATGAGTTAACGCATGAAAACCACCCCAATTTTCCCCACATTTTTCCGGTTAATGAATCGGGAAAACCAATCAGAAGACTCGAAAGAAAAGATAACGCTTAGAGCCTAGAGCCTACAGTAGGGAGTAAATAGGCAATCGGCTGATTTCTTGCGTCATATCCGTGTATGCATGTATATGTTGGTGGGAACGTAAATCCACAATCCAATATACACTCACATATATATATAATCCTAAATAAAAAATACATATTGACCTTTCATCCGACCCTGACATAAATATGTCTCCTGCAAGAAAGTGATAAAAAGGGATCGCAGCAGGTCAATTGGTTCCTTTTTTTTCTTGACCCTTCAGGGTGGATTTTCACTTTTCTACGAAAAGGTTTTCTTGTGATATACTTACTCCTTGTAAAATTCTGTATTATATTTTATATTATAAAATTAAATTTCTGTACATAAGTCCGAGTTAATTTAAAATTAATTAAAAAGAATTGGAGTAAAAAATCCTTTTAAATGATATGCAACACCATAATAAAATTTTGGATATTTTTTTTTAAATAATTATTTGTTCTTCATCATTAATTTTAAATTAATTACAAAATAATTATAATAAAATACATTTTTAAATGAACTGCAGCACCATGAATATAATTTTTGTAAATAAGCATTTTATTTTTGTTAATCAATTTTATTTATTTTTTCACGATCCTGAATCTTATTTATTTTTTCACGATCCTGAATCTTAGACAGGTATCTTAAGTGGACAGTTGAATTTGTAGGGAATTAGGCAAACGGCGTATAAGCACCAGAAAAATTTTAGTAGTATGTAATTAGGCAAACGATGATCCTAGCAAGTTTCATTTTTACATGATCTTTTCTTTACATGCATATTTCCCTTAATGGGACCCAATGCAAGATATCAGAAAATATAGAAAACATAGACAAGATATCAGAAAATATAGAAAACATAGACGGCGATGATCCTGGCAAGTATAATTTTTGGCATGATCGTTTGCTTTTATGCCAATAGAGGGCGTATAAAATATTACGGTAGATGGCGCTGCCCAATTTTACACAAACTTGACCCATAGATGGCGCCACTAAATTTACGTCGTACGCCGTTTGCCTAATTACATACTACTAAAATTTTTCTGGTGCTTATACGCCGTTTGCCTAATTCCCTACAAATTCAACTGTCCACTTAAGATACCTGTCTAAGATTCAGGATCGTGAAAAAATAAATAAGATTCAGGATCGTGAAAAAATAAATAAAATTGATTAACAAAAAATAAAATGCTTATTTACAAAAATTATATTCATGGTGCTGCAGTTCATTTAAAAATGTATTTTATTATAATTATTTTGTAATTAATTTAAAATTAATGATGAAGAACAAATAATTATTTAAAAAAAAATATCCAAAATTTTATTATGGTGTTGCATATCATTTAAAAGGATTTTTTACTCCAATTCTTTTTTAATTAATTTTAAATTAACTCGGACTTATGTACAGAAATTTAATTTTATAATATAAAATATAATACAGAATTTTACAAGGAGTAAGTATATCACAAGAAAACCTTTTCGTAGAAAAGTGAAAATCCACCCTGAAGGGTCAAGAAAAAAAAAAGGAACCAATTGACCTGCTGCGATCCCTTTTTATCACTTTCTTGCAGGAGACATATTTATGTCAGGGTCGGATGAAAGGTCAATATGTATTTTTTATTTAGGATTATATATATATGTGAGTGTATATTGGATTGTGGATTTACGTTCCCACCAACATATACATGCATACACGGATATGACGCAAGAAATCAGCCGATTGCCTATTTACTCCCTACTCATAAGCCATACACATACACATGCACTGAGCACTAATATGTACCACAGTACCAGCTCGAGTGCCCACAAGTCGTACTGTGCTACAGTGGAGGCTGGGAATATTAAACCTTAAATATACAGGGTTTTATATAGTTTTAAGATTTATAAGAGCCATGATAGCTAGACCCTCCTGTAGAAAAGCCGGCAAAGATTATTCCTCTCTTTTTTTGCGGCTGCTGCTGCGTGTAAAATCAATAAATTCGAGCGGGTTCAGAGGTAACGACAACGTCGAAATGCCTATGACCTTCAGGCCACCGGCTGACCTTCGCCGTGCCCCTCCTGCCACCGCCTTTCCGCCTCGGCAATTAAACTTATGTATATGTAGTACGTTTTTACACTTTTTGCTGGCCGGCACTTCTTAATTATTGGAGCTGGCTGTTAAGCTGGTTATGGTTTCCGAACTTGATTCCCCGCGGCACTCATTAATTTCTTGCCTTATTTGTAGCCCTGGCTCCGCTCTTTTGGTTATTGATATTAATAAAAGTTTCTTTCTTCTTTGGTCAGATCCAAGAGCCAATGCAGAGAGAGAAAAACTATTAGTTTAACATATTAAACCTTACAGATATCATAAATAATACTAGGCTACTTCTTATAGATAGAATACCTCCCTTAAAGGATCTTAATTTCAATATCTCAGTTTTAGCCACATTTCCTAACGGTGCAGCTCAACAAGTTACGTCAGACTGAGCAGAAGAATTAAGTAATAGAAAGAGAGGGCTATGGGGGGACTGAGAGAGACGGCCTATCCGTCGGTGGGGATTTTTGTTTGGCGCGGAACTCGTTCAAAGAACAAAACAAAAGATTATACCTTGATGGATTAGGATTACAGCTCTTGTGTTCGGAAAACAAACAAATATGGAGAGTCTTTAGTGTTTTTTGGGGGAAAAATGAAGGTAAACGAGAGGCTTATGCAATCGTAGTGGGAGGAAGCTTTATATTCTTTTAAAATACTTTATTTTAGTAGCAAATAACCAACTACAAAACCGCTTTAATTGCCATTTTAGTGGAGGAACTCCTTCAGAAACTCCCTTTGGTTTGACATTGACTGCCCTAGTGGCTCTCAAACTGTACTATCCTTGAACTTATAAGATTGCTATTTTTTCAGATTTTGTATCTTTTTGTGGGTCAGCTCAGATACTTAATGGTTTTTTTTTTTGGACAACTTACCATCTTTAGTGTTTGTGGCTGCTGCCATGGCTGCCGTTGTTGTTGTTGTTGTTGTGGTGGCCATAGATTGGCTTTTGTTTAGTTTTGTTGGTGTTGTACTGACAGAGGCCGCTGCCGACGCCGACGTAGCCGCTCTGTAGAAGGCCGATGTGGTTGTTGGGTTGGCCAGTTCCCTACCCGATGTTGTTGTTGTTGTCAAGTCCACGGCGCCAGCAGCTGACAAACTGCGCGAGCAGTGCATTAGTCACACGTTCTCAGCAGGTGCAAGTAAGCGAAGGGAGCTGGGGGTGGTGGCTGGGGGGTGGTGGCGGCGCCTATCAGCTGATAAGAAGAGGGTGGAGAAAGGGGGGTTAGGCTGGGCGACAGGGTAAGGGTTAAAGCAAACAGGAAATGCACTGAGAACAAATAACTTTCAGATCTATTTTTTTTTTATCACTTTGCGGCTTTAAGAAGAAGAACAACCCACACACACACACAGGCACACCCAAGCAAATACAAATGGTGTTTGTTTAATTAATTTTTATTAATTCGAATCGAATCTCTTCCTCCTTCGGAGCGGACTTGGAAACTTTATCTCGCGTTCTGGTTCACAGTAGTCCGTAGTACACATTCCACACTGCAGCTGCCTTTTATTTATAATTAAACATAATTTCTTTCTTTAGTTGTTGTTGTTATTATTGGCACTTTGTTGCTTTTGTTGGTCTTGTTTCTTTTGTTTTTGTTGTTTTCATTGCTCGCGTGTGCGTCGGTGTTTGGATGTGTGCGGGTATGCTGGTGTGAGTGCACTGCACTAGCGGGACGCGATCCGCTGCCCCCGTTCGCACCTGCACTTTTCCACTGCACGGCCGCTCCTAGCACATGCTGCACATAATTTTATTAAATTTTACGCGTCCTTTTCTTCGATAATTTTGCAATAATCTTAGCAACGCGTGTTTACTCTTTGATTTGATTAGCGTGACCATTGAACGAATCCCGAAAAATCCCCGGCATCTCAAACGGCAAATCAAACAAATCCCTAACGCCAAATGAGCGAGAGGTGTATAGCGGTTCTCTCGCTCAGACGCAACTCGAACATTTTTGTGGCGCCACCTATCTTTTCTCTTCCGAATCAAAGAGTTTACATGTATCACCTTGTGGCGGCTTAGTTGGGTTTTAACGTTATCGATAACGATATTTTGGCGCGAAAAAGCTTTAAATATAAATCGTAGGTTTCAGTTTTAAAAATGTATTTAATTTTGTTAAAATGAAACCAGAAAAGATATACATTCCGTTAAGATTCAAGTCACTATAACTTTTATGTTTCATAAATTAATAATAAATTATAAAAAGAACAAATTAAATATATAAATAATAATATTTATCGAATATTAAGCTTAAATTTCTAATAACTCCACCCTTAATTAACAATAGAGATAAGTAATAACGAGAACCGAGATTCATTCTAAAGGTCTCATACTTAGTTTTTCAATAAAATGTATTGTTCTTGTATGAATTAATATTTTAAAATACCTTTAAGATAATAATTTTGGAATAAAGTGGTTGGAAACAAGTCTTTTTTCAAATGAAAGCGCCCTTGGCAACCATTTTCACACTTGGCCCCACATATTGGCACAATTGGGCAGAAACAATAAAAAATGTTATTGTAAAAATTGGCCAAAAGCAGTGACCTTGACAAAGTATGACACAAATATTACGGCAACAATAACAAGCCGCTTAGCTTGATAAGTGAGGTAATTTTTGGATGACGGAGATCACCCGATGTCTCCCACTCGACTTCCCCTTTTTCTTTACACTTTTATTTTTTTTGTCATTTTTTTTTATGTCACCCACTTTGCATATGTACACGGCGGGTATTGTTATTATTTTTGTTAGTATTCCGTACGATTGTTGAGTGAAAGTTGCCACCGTTTAGAGTAATGTACTTTGTTTTTGTTGCTGCTGGCTGGTGGCTGCCGGCTGCCTGGCCACGCCCCGCTCGCATTTCCGCCCACCTGTTCGCGATGTGAGCGAGGTGTTAATTCGACAGCCAATTGTGTGTGCGATAACAAATGGAGAAAAAAGCCAACAGCCCAGCAATTGCATAATATCAAAGCTTAAACCGAAACTCGAGCAAATTTTTGTGGGGCAAGTAAGACAGAAAAAAAAACAGGAGCAATTAAAAAACTCCAAGAAAAGCCATAAAAATCGACAGAACCTTAAATGAGGTTTTTTCGGGAGGGCGATCTGGAAAAGAAACTTGTTCTGGTCTGCCCTCGTGCTGAAATCAATTTTGTGTTTTTGGGTTTTTATTTGGGAGTTGCAGAAATAAAAAACCAAACGTGGGGGTCATAAAAATGAAGCAGAACAGCATCTGGGAGCTTCAAGTCAATGTCCTTAGCAGGCCACTTTGATGTGATCTTTGATTTTGGACCCTTCTTAATGCCCTCCAGAAAGGGGTTTATATGTTTGATGGAGATTAAAGATTTATAATAGGTATAAATTAATAAATTTAATTCATCTCATTTAACTAAGGTAGAGCTTAAAGTTTTATATAAAAAGCCCCCGTATAATAAACCATTTTAAAATCCCTAACAAGAGCATCCAATCCTTTACATACTTGATTTTTTTTTTCCTTTTAATTTCTTTTTTAAGCCCTGCCTTTTAGCCCTGCTGGTTTGGCCTGTTTGCAGAGATCTTCTTGGCCAAAAGGGCCCAAGAAGCAGAACGAGTTCTGGCCGGGGATCGATCGCAGCCATCGATCATTGCCACCAGCACCTCCACAGGAAATAAGTTTTCATCTGGCCGGCCCGTCGCTGGCCCAACTAGGCTTTTGGGTTTCTCTCTGCCTCGGCCAGCATCTGACCCATTTAACTACATTTAAATGCTTTCATTTGCATAAAATGCATTTGGGCTTTGTTCCTCGGCCTGGTGGGCGTTGCATTCGGTTTCGGTTTCCGTGTGTTTCTGTGCATTTCTAATGAATTATTAACCCAGAATGGGGGAAAACGCATCCCAGCGCTGCATCTGCAGACCGACGACCAAAGACCAAAGTCGGTCCAAAGCTAATTGACTCTAAAAATAGATGGATCAGGTTTTTTTAGAACCCAACCTGGGGGGAACGGGTTTCCACAGAGGAGGCCCAGCCAAAGACAAAGCTTTGAGCTCCTCACAGCCCCAAGACTCAACACCACAAATGGCTTTCTTGTAGAATCGTTTAACCAAACAAGAAGACAACAAGAAAAGTCCGCCGATCAAATGCAATCGAGTCAACAAGGAATGAGAGTGAAAAAACACACTGGGGAGTTGGAGGAAATCAGAAGGAGTTACACAAGATCGCTTCCAGACTGGGATAAAGACTAATAATTGCTGCACAGTTGGACAATGTAATGCGATTTTATTTTATGGCCAAACATAGTCTATTTAATAACCTATTTATCTTATTATTAGTAGCTTAAGAATCATTAATTATAATAAGGTGTATAATGACTTTTCCCATAGTTCCTTAAATGTCAAAGATCTAGAATATCTCTATAAGTTTCTCAAAAACCTACAGTCTAAAATCTCTTGAAAGCTTATGTCTTGATAATGTATAAACTAGAATTTTTCAAGTTATATAGTTTTTGAATATAAGCCCCTATATTCTTAGCCCTTCTTCTCCTCAAACAAACCAAATATTGATAACCATATTCGTAGGTACACTCGTAAAAACAAACATGATTGATGACAACTACCAAGTCTTTGGTTAAGACTCCACCACCACTCTGAATTGGCCAATTATGTCTGCAGATTCTTCTCGATTTTCTGCGTAAAAAAATGAATAAAAAAAGAAATCATAAAACCCTTTTGGAATCGGGATGGCACTTGCCTGGCTGCTTTGATTCCTGCGTGTAACTCAAGTCGAACGGGGAGCAGTTCAATGACATTCGGTTCAAGAATTGGCCAAGACCCGGGCTAAGAGATATTAGTACCACTTGTCTCGCCCCGTCTCGCTCTGTCGCCTTTCTCCGTCTCCCTTGCACTCTGCTGTTGACTGTTTGCCTTTCGACGCTGGCAGCGGAGGTGGAAAAAGTATAAAATGCGTCGGGCCTAAAGACATTTCAGATAGTTGCGGCCGTGAGGCGCTTGTGAACGCATCTTGTTGGTGAAACATTACAACCTTAATCCCGGGAGTCCAACTCAAGAGTCAAAATGAAGTCTGTTGCTTTGATCCTAGTTTGCTTGGCCCTAAGCTGCCAGGCTAGAGTCGTTCAGTTGCCAGAGAAGCCCATCGATATTCCAGTGACCATCATTGAGGATAAGCAGCCCCTGGAGTCCCTGTCTTTGGTGAAGGAGGAAGCCCAGCCGATCAAGCCCGAAATTCTGGAGGAGAAAGCCAAGGAAATCAAAGAGAAAATTAAGCCAGAAATTAAGGAGGAAATTAAGCCAGAAATTAAGGAAGAAATTAAGCCAGAAATCAAGCCAGAAATCAAAGAAGATATCAAGCCCGAAATCAAAGAAGAAATCAAGCCAGAAATCAAAGAGGATTTGCCTGCCAAGCCCTTAGAGCTAAAGGAGGAGATCAAGGAAATTCCCCAAGAGATCAAGGAAACTTCCCTAGAGATCAAGGAAATTCCCCAGGAGATCAAGGAGGAACCCAAGCCCGAACTACCTGAAATCAAGGAGCAGCCTGCCGAGATCAAGCCCGCCGAGGAGCCAGCCAAAGTTGTCCTGAAAACCCTGTCAGCTGAAGAGCCCACCGAGCAACTCGCACCTGTTCCCAATCCCCAGGAGCAAGATCAATCCGAGGTTCAGGACTCCGCTCATCCTCAGGTCCGTCAAGCCACCCAGGCCACCCCCACCCAGAGCACCACCCAGGGCAACTTTGTGCAGCAATTGATCCAGAACTCCCCGATCGGTCAGTTCTTGAATCAGTTCCAGCCCCAGCAGCAGCAGACTCAGCCCGCTGCGGCTCCGGTTCAAGCCCAGGCGGATGAGGCTGCTCAGCCCACTCCGGCGCCCACCGTGCCCGGCTTTCTGAATCCCCAGGCCGCCTTCACCTCCGCCCAGCAGGCTGTCCAGAACGCGGCCCAGACCGTGGTCAACTCCACCACCCAGGCCTTCCAAGGCATCCAGCAGTTCGCCAGCAATCTGGGCAACCAGTTCCAGAACACCCTCTCCGGCTTTGCCAATCCCCAGGCGGCGGTCTCCACCACTCCACGTCCTCCCGGTCCCATCCAGCAGTTCGTGAACAATGTCTTCGGCGGCGGAAACGCCACGGCAGCCACTCCAGCCCAGAACCAGCAGCAGGGAGGCAATCCCCTCCAGGGAATCATTAACTTCCTGGGCGGTAATCGCCCCCAGAATGCTCCAGCTCCAGCTGCAACTGAGGCGCCGGCCAAAAAGCCAGAAGTCGACGACAAGATCGATCCCAACTCCCAGGACGAGGTGGCTGAGTTTGTCCCCGAATCCGAGAACGAGATCCGTGCCAGTGGCGAGACGATTGACGACTCCTTCGAGGAGGCCGCTGTGCCCTCCAACGAGGTCATCGTGGTCAACGACGACGCCGGCGAAGTGGCCGATCCTGTCCAGCCATCACATCCTGCTGCTACAGACGCCGTGGCCCTTTGAGGAACTCACGTTCACATAGACTGACATTTTAATTTTCGTGGCCATTTTTCGATTTTCCAATTGAGAATGAAAAGAAAATGTTTCATTAGTTTTCTAAGAGCACATGCAACGCAAACAAATTATTTATTTCATACTCGTACTCGTACTCTACCCAGGAATTTATCTATAACAGAAATTACAAATAAAAATCATTAAAAATAAAAATATGGATAATTAAAATATTTTTATAAGTTATACTTTTGGCAAAATAACACGATTTACTAACTTTCATAGGGATCCTTTTAAGGGGACCCCATTTTTAAGGGGTCCCATCACAAAAATGGACAAAAAATCTAAAAAATATTTTGTCTCAGGATTTTGATGCAGAATGGTGGAGAATCGATCTAGAAATCGTTTAAGGTACTCTGCTTGAGAATCGGATCAGGATTGGGGAAGATATAGCAATAACTGTGGGCCCTATAGGGAAATACCCCATTTGTAAGGGGTCCCATCAGGAAAAATGGACAAAAAATCTAAAAAATATTTTGTCTCAGGATTTTGATGCAGAATGGTGGAGAATCGATCTAGAAATCGTTTAAGGTACTCCGCTTGAGAATCGGATCAGAATTGGGGAAGATATAGCAATCACTGTGGGCCCTATAGGGAAATACTCCATGTTTAAGGGGTCCCATCAGGAAAATGGACAAAAAATCTAAAAAATATTTTGTCTCAGGATTTTGATGCAGAATGGTGGAGAATCGATCTAGAAATCGTTTCAGGTACTCCGCTTGAGAATCGGTTCAGGATTGTGGAAGATATAGGCATCACTGTGGGCCATATAGAGCTGCCGTATAAGTGAACTACTTTTGTGTTTTTTAACATAGAAAGTTGACATGTATAAGCTATTGATATAGCCCTCAAAACCCCCCTTTAAGCAAACATATATAGCCCCCCCTTTAAGCAAACACCATTGAAAACTTATTCAAAAATTATTTTATATTTATTTGAATTGTTTCCATTTGTTTTCTTGATTTATTATTTTGATGTTTCTTTTATTTTTATCATTAGTTTGCATTGTTTTATATTTTGTTTTTTGTTTCACATTAAGGTGGTTCAATAGCTCAAAACTGGTTACATCAACCGAGACGCGCATAAAATGTACATTCATATATAAGGCTAAGTATTTGAAGAGTTCCGAACCTAAACGTGAGAACGAAGGCTTCCAATTTAAACTAGGTGTCGCAGCTTGACTTAAACTTATGCCCAAATATTTAAGCTAGTGTTTCATTATATTTTTTTTTTCTGAAATTCAATTTCATTTTTTGTTGCATTTTTTTGTATTTTTACGTTATTCTTTAGCTAAGGTAGTGGGATTCCTTCATTAAGCTGTCTTAAGTAATTATTTTTTTGAGCTGGAGAATGAGTCTACTTAAAGTTAGTTTTTGGGGGAGATTCGAGGGAAAGAGGAGTGTGTTTCGGGGCAGTGTACTTGAGGGGTCGGAGGTCGGGGCAGTGTTCTATTGCTTTTATGTGCGAGATTTCAAACAGGAAAATTGGAAAATTGGAAAACTGGATCGTTGAGCACTGAGTTTCGAGGGAGGGAGCAAAGGTCGGGAGATTATCGGAAATAATTTGATTTCTTAGCCAAGTTAAGTCTTTTTGAGAGTGGTTCATGAACTTAATTAGAGTTTGATTTTAGATTTGATAATATCATACGATAAGGTGCTTAACAGGCTGAGGATCCGGACCACAACGATCCCGATCCAATAAGTATGCTTTCAAGGGGGTGCATATAGGGGTTCCTTGCTCTAGACGAGTTGAATTTATGCTAAGTAAACGTTTATATAAGTAGGCCAAACATAACAGTGTTAAAGCATTTCCTTTTCGGCATTTCGCTCAGTGTATACGTGGTAAAGTAATCGAGAGATATACATAGATATAGATAGCGTAATGCGTGTAAATATCGAGTAAATATCGAGGCTTTCTTTATTTTGATAATTTTGATTGATGTGGGGGATTATATAGAAAAGTATGTATTTGGTTTCTGAAGCCGTTGAATGTGTGGGTCGTGGGTCTTGGATATACACCTATAGAGTGGATACGATCGAGCTATATATCTTTATGTTTTATGTATGTATAATAGTTGTAAATATATAGGGGGGTGTTACAATCATATGTCTGTTCAGATACGTGTATAATGTGTGGTGTGAGTGTGTGTGGCTTATATATCATCGATTTAGCAGTTAGCAGAGGATTACAGTTTCTATATATGAAGGTCATCTAATGGGCAGGAATGAGTACAGTTTTTCCGGCAAAAATCTCTTTTGTCTCTAAGAAGGTACAGTACTTGTATATATCTTTTGATAGACAGATCGGTTTTGCTATAGCGCCATAGCGAAGCTTCTAGGCTGGACGATAAAACACAATTTTTTTTTTAAATAATAGAAAAGTAAATGAAACTGGAAACGGGTTATCCTTTCAAGTTCTCCCCTGGTTTTGGTCGCATTTTATAAAAATAAAAATTCGTTTTCGCTTCTAAAAAATATTGCACAATCGGAATCTAGAAAAAATAACGCGCTTATCAAATATCAATCGCATGTATATAGCGTAATTATCTGTATATGCCTATAAATATAATAAATATTTATATATATTCTGTGGTAACCTAAGCTGGTTTTTGGTTAATTTTTTATTTCTTTTCTTAGTGGTTTTGTGGGTTATATTAACATGCAGACATCAAAAAGTTATTATGCTTTTGTATATAAATTTTCAGTTATATTGTAAAGAGTAACCATATCATATGTCTTAGATTTGCTTTTGGTTTAGCTGCAATTGCTGTTTGGGGGGACTTTAATTAAAAGACGTTGGGGGATCTTGAGGAAGACTTTTAAAAGAAATCAAGAGGGGTATATGAAGCAGAAAGGAAGACATCTAGTATTGGTTCGGGGAATAGAACAGATAAATAGATAGGGTAGTTAGTTATAGAAAAGAAAAATGGCTGATAAATCAAAATAAACCAACGCCTTAATCTTATTCAATCCCTTTGACTTTCTTAATTTCTTCAGCTTAGTTTTAGCTCAAAAGCAGTTAGCTTAGGTGTAGACTTGTTGTGTACATATGTATAGTATCATTGCTATTGCACTTAGCACTTCCACCTCCATCTCCTCTTCCACATCCGACTTACATCGCATTGCTTAGCCATACGTACACGTACATATACATATCTCATAATAGTGTATAAATATATATGTGGAATACGAACTAAAAGTAGCAAAACTAGACTAGAATACAGTTTGGTTTCCTCCTTGGATGTGTGGCCAACATTCCCATCTCATCTGGCTCGTCGGACCTCCCACCGACACTCTCCCCGTTTTCTTATAAATTCGTTTCAGTTCTGTGGGGCGGCAGCATGCCGGACTGGGTGGTGGCGGCGCTTATGGCGGCCACAGCTCCTCCGGGAGTGGCCATGCGCACCCTCTCCCCCACGCCGGGACCCAGGATCCGGCGCTGCATCAAGCGCGATACTCCTACCACTCCTCCGGGCCCAGGGACTGCTCCTGCCCCGGCTCCAGCTCCGTGCATGGACCACTCGTTCTGCTTCAGCAGGAACTGCTTCACGTTGTACTCCATCTGGGCAATGTCCACGTTCTGGGTGGTGGTGTGCAGCTCCGCCTGCACGGATCGCGTCTTGTCCGTGTCATTGGGATAGTATTTGTAGTTGAGAATATCACAAGTGGGCTGTTCGGGCAAGATCAGCGGCTCTGATCCGGAGGACGTGGAGGACACTGCGCCCGCCGGGACTTCCGAGGGAGGAACTGCCACAGTGGTGTAGGCCACCGGCAGACCAGACCGTGTGGTCCTCCTGTAGTAGGTGGTGCACATTTCCGTAGTCTTTGGCTCTACGTTGGGCGCGACAGCCACAAGTCCTACCGGATTCTCTGGCAGAGAGTTGCTGGTGATGTCCGTTTTGGGGGACAGCGAATCCTCAGTGGACTTCTCGGGATAGCCATTGGTGAGCTGCTGCGGCGTGGTCTTGTAGCCAGAGTCCATCGACAGCTTCTCTATGGATATGGAGTCCATGCGGTCCAGGGTGGAGTACGAGGACTGCCGTTCGGTGCCCGAGTTGGAGTCACTGGCCGCCGGTGGCTGTTGCAGGTTCCTCTGCTCCAGCTGCTGGGTGTTGTGCTGCACCCACTCGGCCACCCGACTGAGCTGTTGCCGCCTCAGCAGCACACTCTCCTGATAGTCGATGACATCGCTGATGGAGCTGGAGTTGGCTGAGTGCTTGGGCGAGTTCACTCCAGGATTGACGCTTACGGGTGGATCTCCCGCCTTGGGTTTCTCCGCCTCCGCATCCGGAAGTTGCTGCTGCTGCTGTTGTTGTTGCTGTTGCAGTTGCTGCTGAGCCTCCACTTGGGGTTCCAGCACTGGCTGCAGGGCCACATTCTCATGGGGAGCAGCTGGTCCTTGCCAGGCCTCTACGGTTGCCGCTGCATTGCTCTCCTTGCTGGTTATGATGTCCTTGCCATCGTTGAGTTCCTCGTCGAGGAGTCGCTCCCGTCGCTTGTAGATCACCGGGGTGTAGGTTTCAATAGATTCCAGATTGTCCAGCAGGATGTTGCTCTGCCCGTTCTGCTGAATCCGCATGGCGCACAGACGAGGTCCTCGGTACTTGGGGTTCTCAGCCTAGGAAGGGGGATGTATTAGCTAAAGATCAGTCCATACAGAATCATATGTCACCTTGATGGTTTTTATGAGGTTCCTGTTGAAGGTCTCAAACATTTTGGCTCCCTCACAGCTGCTGGTCTTGTTGCTCCACAAGCTTTGGACACTGCCCGAGTTGGTGGACTTGAGCTGGGCTGGAGCTGCGTTTACGGAAGGAGCCACCGACTTGGTAACCAAAGGCGTCGGTTCGCACACATCTTCCAGCTTCGCAGTGCTCGCCACCTGGGGCTGTGGTGTGGGGGCCTGGTCGGCTTCCAAGAGATTCGCCTGCGAAACGCCAGCCAGGAGGGGCTTACTGACCTCGTCCTGCTCCAGTTCATCCGGTACAGGGCCTCCGGTACCAACACCTGCCGCCTCGAATTTGTTCAAAAGCTGCAAAGCCGTTCCTCCGCCATCTAGGAACCGTCTCTGATAGCCATTTCTCAGCTGGCCGAGATTACTGGTCTCCAGGAGATATTTCTCGGCGGCATAGGCACCCAAATGAGTGGTTGGATACATCATGGTGGAAGTGGTTAGCTTGCCACTGGCGTAGTCCTGTCCTTGTCCTGGAACTGGAAAGATAAGATTATAATCTTGCCAGAAGGAAGAGCATTCCCTTCACAAACCTGCAACTGTCCTCTCACACAAGCGATGATGCCCAAGGATAGGGTTCACCATCAGATCGTCCTTCTTGGCCGGGGTGAACAGTTTGTCCATATCATTCAGATCCGATACAGAGCTCTTGGTTTCTGATATAACCGAGTCGCTGGACTTGACCAGCTTCATCAGATATGGACTATTGGTTCGCGACGGAGAGTTCAAGTTGCTGTGACACCGCAAACACAGTTGGGTCAAGTTGGACTCGTTCAATCCCGATCCCTGGAGATGTAGCTGGTGCGGCGTCTGGGTGGCCACCGTGTAGGAACGCGTCAGATCCGCCAGGACCTGCAGGTCCTGCTTGCTGCACTGACACGTGTCGCAGTGTTTCACCTCGTTCGCCTTCAGCTCGTCCTCCAGAAACTTGGCCATTATGGTTGGCGATATCATGTCGGGATTGGTAGTTTGATTCGAATTACAATTGCTGGTTGTTGTGCCGAACTTGTTGTTGTTGCCGCTGGTATTATTGTTGTTATTGTTGTTGTTAATAGAGTCCTTGTTGCTGCTGGTGATGTTATTGTTAGTTGTGGCCTGGTTGGACTTTTGCTGCTGGGGATTGTTGGCTTCATTCCCATTGGCGGCGTCTAAATTGTATGTGAACATTATTTTTCATTAGTAAGCACTCTTGTTTGTAAAGTTTAGAAGGCTGTTAGTATAAATATATCTATTATAAAACATGTTACTCATATTAAACTAAAGTTAAAATATAAAAAAGAAAACAACAAATAATAATAGCCCCTATGGTATAATCGTATGTGGTCACTTCCACAGATATGTCTATATCTTTCACATTTTGAACTCGATTCTTAAGCAGAATACCTTAAAAGATTTCTGCATCGATTCTCTATCAATTTGCTTCAAAATCATTCAACAACAGTTATGACCGATTTTTTTTAATTTTTTTATTAAAACCCTTACAAAGACTGGCATATCCGTGTATCTAGGCTTACCATCTAGGTTTATATCTGGGCTATTTTTAAATACTTTATCATTATTCTGCATCACAATTGTCCAACAAAATGTTTATATCTTGGCCAATTTGTACAATCTATTTATAAAGCGATTCCCTTCCAATAGCTTTTAAAATTTTAGAATATTATTTTAAGTACATTTTTAGTGGGTTTTTCTGCCAGATCTTTGGTTTTCTAAATGTTTGATTTAGAAAGCCACTGTTGCACTTTTTATTGAGTGCATACTCGTGCAAAAAAACCTCGAATTGTATTTTAATTGAGAACGAAACGCTTTCAATCAACTCTGCCGCAACACAACATGGCCGGAAAATATAAAATGAATATTAAATGGATATTAGAACCAATAGAAACTTTGTTAGTCCAATTAGAATGCAGACCTCAAAAATGCCTGCCATAAATGCAGTTTGTTTCGCAAATTCCTGTGCTTCATCAGATATGAGTTTTAAAACTAGCAACAAATTGCTGGAATTGATAAACAAAAAGTTTGAGCCGCAGCTATGGCCTCTGTTGGCATTCTGCTGGCCCTAAACAAGTATGTAAATATTTTCGAGAAACGAAAAAATGTTTCGCAAAGTTATTTTACGACTGTTTCAAATTGCAATTACTGCCCTGCCGAAAGAGAGCTACGAAAATGCAAACAATGGTACTTTGGACTGACGCTGGATGGACAAAAAATAACCAATAATAAATATAAATTAAACGAAATGGCAGGCAATTAATGCAAATGAACAATAAATGAAAAAAGGAAGATAATCAATGAATGCCAATACAATGCACAATGACGTGGAATGGATTCAATTATGAGGCAAAAATCAAATTGTTAACTCGGCGCCCCCTTTTTTTCGGGGGGGAACAGCCGCCGCTCGTGATTCAATCAGCAGGTAAGTGGGCCTAGAAATGCGAATCGAGAAATCAAATAAATCAAATCAGAAAATAAAATCAAGGGAAAATATGAGCAAGGAAATCATAAGGTTCAACATGGTCTACTAACACCTACCGAGTCCCCGCATCGAATAGACCATGGCCGTGGGCGGGAAGGGGCAGGCGGAGGGGGGCGGCGAGTCGGAGGCCGGAAGCACTTTATAGGAAGCTGTGGTGGCCACGCCCACTCCGCTATTACTGCACTCCGAGTCGGAATGGGAGTTTGTTTCCAGTCTCATGTACGCCGACACCTTGGATTGAATATCAATGGGTAGCTGCAGAGAAATGCCATTATTTAAGGGAATTTATTCTTCTAAAGCACGGAGAACTTTTGGGTGGGTGGCAATTTTGGGGCGCCCATAGCCCCGCTTAACACCCATTCCATACTCACCGATGACACTTTTTGGGACACAAAACTATCCGGCTTGCACTGCAGCAATTGTATGGCCAGGCTAATGTCAGCCTTGTAGCGTTCCTGGCAGGAAGAGAGGAAAGCAAAGGAGAACACAGATAAGAGAGCGTCGTCACGGAAGTGGCATAAACGAGTAGGCCTACACAGTGCAAAATTTTAGGTACTAAAATCTACTTAGAGCTAAAATAAATAATATTGATGTAGTAGTAGTAATAACAGTAACTAAAACTATTCTTTAAAGTTCTTGCTATGGCTATTAATAATAATAAATAATTTTAATAAATTAAATTAAAGCTCTGATTACTCAAACTAACATTTAGTCACATTAAAGTCACCTTTTTAGTAAAATAGTATGTTTATTTTAAAAATCCATTAGAAATTTATACCCGATACTTCTATCAATCAAAATAAGTAAAAGGATGGAATATGTTTTAAGATGAAAGGAAACGTTTCCTTTCTCTGAAAAGTATACATTCTTCGTCTTTATAAACATCCAAGCGAATTCTAACCATTTAATAAAAAACTATATTAATATCCTAGGTATAAAGGATCAAAAGGATCAATACCTAATGTGATGTAATGAAAACTTAAATGATTTACTTAAAATTGCACATACTTTAATAACTTGTATTAATAAGTCCCTTAATTTAAATAAAACATATTCATACTTACATATATTTCTAATTTTAATTTATCTTCTAATATAATTTATAACATAAATCTATCTTTATAATTTCTCCCAGTGCATGGTTTTATGCGGTTGTTTGGCAGCGTTAGCTGTGTGTGCTGCGTGCTGGTGTGCGGGTTAGTTTATATAGCTTCTTGCTTCTTTTGACACTTTTCGTATGCAAATGTCAAATATGTTTGCTGTTCGTTTTGTTTCACTCGACTCCTGCCACTGCAGCCGCACCCCATGCCGCAGCCCCTGGCCCCCAGCAATCCTTTTACACATTGTTAGGCAAACTTTTCTCGAGGGGTACCAAATGTTGCCAAATGGGAGTTTTAGTTTCCCAAGAATTTGTTTTTTAGGTGAGTCGGTAAAGCTACTTTTAGGGAGTTCCATAGTTCAAAGATGAATGGGATGCTCCCCTGATTTAAGAGGAATTTGTCCCTTTAAAAAGCTTATTTTCTTAAGATTCTTATGAAAAACCATCCAGGGTATAAAGCCATTTACATAAACCCTTCTGAAGGGCCAGTTCGAGTCATCTTGGCTTGTTTCGCTGTTGCTTTTGTGCATTTTGGTGTCAGCGGCAGAGCCTCAAAAAGTTTCGCTCCTGGTTTTTGTGTTTGGTTTTTGAAGCAACCCCCCTAGAAACACACACACATACATCGCAGGAAGAACTTTTAGATGCCTTTTTAAATTTTCACAAATGCGATGCACTCGAACTTGTTAAACAAGCAACAACAACACCGGGCCAACAATAACAAAACCAAAAAAAAAAGAAAAACTGAAAAAGAAGGGAAAACCATGGCAGAGGGACAACTGCATTGGTGACCCAAATACAACAACGCCACAACAGTAGCAACAACAATGGAGCAACAACAACATCAACTAGGAAAATGGAAAATGGTGGACCACTGTAACGGCATTTTGCACCGCGTTTACCAACACTTACACGCCCCGCCACCCAGCCATTTTTCCAGCTCCGTTTCGGTTCGGTTTCTCACGCTGCATTTTCACACTGCCTGGCAATGGAAAATGCACCGAAAATGTATAGTCCTAAAGGTTTAAGCTTTAAAAGTTTAAAATGGGGGAAAATTGGTTTTTACTTAATTTTAATAATTAGTGTTCTAAGCCTTCAGAAAACCATTTTAAATGGAAGTTGAAACTATGAACTTTGGACATAAAATATCAACGAATATCTACTTTATCTGAAGGATTATCAATAATTTCTCATTAAAAACGTATATTTCAAATATCAAATAGAAAACTTCATAAATATTTTCGTTCTGTGCAACAAGGAAAACGTCTGAAAAAAATAAAAGAAAAGCAAGTGCCTGGCAAGGAACTGCAAAATGCCGCCGCTTGCATTTTATGTTCATTTTCCCTTATTTTCCTTTTGCACGTTTTTATATTTTCCTTCACTTGGCATTTTTATTATTTTTTTGCGCTCTCCGGGCACAGTGCTGGCAGCAATTTTATAAATAGAAAAATGCATAAAAATTGCATGAAATAGAAATGAAATAAATTCCGACAGGGAAAAGGGAAGAGGTGGTGCTGGGAGCCAGGAACCAGGAGCCGAGATCGGGGCAAGTGGCAAGTAGCTCGACTTGACTTGGAAGTGGCAGCTAAATAAGCGGATGCATTGATTGAACTCGAATGCGAAAATGTTGATTGTCAGTTGGCTAAGCATGAAAGTAATTTCTATAAGCCGGAGAAGATTGTGGTCGGGAAAGGGAATTGCAATACCACTCTATTGATGGATTACTCGTGTATCCTTTGGCATTCTCCTTGCCTGCTACTTACTACTTTTAATAATCACGTTGCTTGCTACTTTTATTTAGTTTAGTAAAGTCATAAAAAATAAGGAAAGAAGGTCAACCTGTTATGGCTTGTTTTTCACAAGTCCCTCGGATCGTATGGCATTGATCCCTGAGCAGTTTCGCCAACTTGATTGACCCATTTCCGTGAGGATATCCATCCTTGGACTCGTCAATCCATTTTACAGCCACAGCTGGTGCCATAAACAAAACCCCTTTTTTCCATCTCAAAAAACACGATGACGATGGAGGGAGGCCAGTGCCAGTGCCAGTTCCACTCGCAGCACTCGGAATTCCATTTCGCCAACTGGCCTCAGCACGTTCGATGGCTGGGTAAATGCAAAATAAATTTCCAACTTTACACTCTTTAATGAAGTGCTCCGAGTGCTCTGAACACCGAGTGCCGAGTATATCGAACACTCCTCCGAGGACTCCAAGGACCTGGCGCTAAATTTAAAACGTGCCACGACAGGCCATCGATTCGAATCGGTTTTAATTAAAAGCATCCACGTCCAACCCCATGCTCAGCCTTTGTGTATATTTAGCATTGCGTGATTGCATCGGATGCAGGGCAGTGCATGTCGGGGAAGTAATAAAGATAATTGAATCATTAGCGTGTGTAGCTAATTGTATGCATTTAATTAACAGACCATAAAAAAACCCCCAGCATTTAACCTAAACAAACGCGATTTAAAGCGCTGCTGGCTCTGGAGGCAAATCAAACATCATCAAAGGAGAATTAATTGCAAAGGGGTTAAGTCAGCTTTTCTAATCATTTATTAAATTCCACACAACTCCCTTTTATTATAAAAAATAAAACCTATCACCCCTTTTTATTAAAAACACTTTTCTAAATTCCCCTTTCAGATTTTTGCACGTTGTGCATGCGACAAAAAATGCATAGCATACTTTTCAGCACTGCAACTGAAATGAAAAGGGAAATTCGCGGAAAAACGAGAGTTCATATGGGACCCACAGCAAAGGAGAAGCGAAGCGCATTTGTAGGCCGCAAGTCTGATTGCCTTTTGTCCCTCTGTTGCTGTGGCTTCCTAGACCCTTTATATTTTTTTTACTGTCCTTTCCGGTCTCTGTGTTTTTTTTGGTTTAGAGCCGTCACGGCTTTTGTGCAATTTCACGCTTGTTTGCTGACCAACAGCTGACCGCAAGCCAAAACCGGAGCTCCTAGAAAACAGAGTGTAGGGAACTGGCGGAAAAGCGGAAAATGGTTGGAAGCCAGGGCAGGTGTGTGAGAGGGCGAGTGTGCCATTTGCGGTGGCTTTTGATTTGCCAATAAAACGCGCTGACAGGCAGCACGGCCAACGGGCGACAGTTTATGAATAGCATGCGAAATTGTCAAATAGCTGCGAGGGGTTTAGCTCCGTAATGAATAATAAATTCGTTATGGCCGTGGAAAAACAATCAAAACGGGGCCGAGGAAATGGCACATTAGCGGGGAGCTCCATCCGGGACGGGCAATTAGTCAAATGAATGGAATAATAGGTGGGGATTGGGTTTTCCAGGTAATCAACTATTAAAAAGACATATTTGAGAAATAATTTAATTAAATTTAAGGGTATTAGTTGAAGATTTTGTGGTTAATGGTAATATATAATGTGTATTTTGGCCAAAAACCCATTTGTAGGCTTCTCTGATTAGACCCGCATAAACAGAGCCAGAATCCCCCTGGAACATACGAGCCTCCAGCCTTGTTTGTGTCATTTGGGCCACTGGAGAGACTCCTGCTCCACTCAGCACTCCTGCATGGATGTTTGTCTATAACTGGCGATGCATATGCACAAATATTATGGTTAATTATGTGGCACAGTTACCCACTGCCACGCCCATTGCTCCCCACACACACATGGCAATTTCCCACTCTAATTAACATATTTCTATGCATAGCCCGGCTTTTATTTCATTTGTGCCTCAAATACACTTTTTCGCAGCAATCTTTAAGGTCGACCAACCGCAAAATCAAAACCACAAATGCAAATGCCAACTGAATTATGAGAAAATTAATTTTCACAAATGACAAGAACAACAAGAAAAACAGGCCGGGTAGGGAAGGGAAACTGCAAACTGCAGCCGGAGAATTGCATACTAAATTAAGTTACTGCGAAAGGGGTTTTGGCTCAGGGGCGGCTGAATCTAATTAGTTGCTCAAAAGCTTTGCCAGCGCAGCGCAGAAGGGTTCAAATTGTTGGTGGTTGCCACACAGAGGGGCTGAGGCCGTCTGGGCTGGGTGCTTAGAGGGTGGCAGGGCCGCCTGGTGGGTGGCATGCCAGATAGACGGAGACAGGCATTTGAGTTAAGTGAATCTGCATGTCATTCATGTCAGGACATTTAGTACGCCAGGATGCACTAGGATGATGAGCGAAAGGCACTGAACAAAAATCTCCTTAATTATAATGGCTATAACCTATTGGGTTTCATTTAAAGCAGGCCTAGACTTACTTATTCTATTGCCTTAAATATTAATTTACTTATAAATAAATAATATTATTTAACTATTATTTTCCTCAGTGTTTCTTAGCTGCTGTTGCCCAATTAGTTTGAGCTTGGCTGCATCCTGACATTCGGAT